AAGTTGGAGAACAATAAAAAAAAAACAAAAACAAAAAAAAAACACGCCCTTAGTTTGGTGTCTCAGTCCCAAGAGACTGAGGCCCCCTGCAGCTGGAAAGGCTAAAATCACCCTTAAACTGCCCTGTGTCTTCTTCCACAGACCACGTGAACCCACACCCGTTCTGTAACAGGCAGCAATACTTCCAATGATCTACTAACCACCTCCACTCCCATCTTGACCTTAGCACATTGATGACTAAGCTTCCCCCAGGTTAACCTGGAGACATGTTCAAGTCATATGTGTAAGTGTACCATGGATGAGTCTCCTGGAGTTCTGAGATGCTTTTGAAAAGCTAAGGTGGGAAGCCAGCATTTTATGGCTCATCTATAATCCCTGAACAAAACCAGAGATTGAGATTCCTGACTCTGCTTATGGGCAATTGCACAAGCCCAAGTATTACATGCACTTCCACTACACAACCTGGTTCTGTAAGAGTCTTGTTGTGTAGTCTAGGTGGTCTTGAACTCACTCTAATCCTGCCTCAGCCTCCCAAGTGCCAGGATTATAAGCATTCATGTGTCTTGATGCTCAGATAACCCAAAGAAACTGATAGCAACATCCTTTCCTACTAGATTGCTGATGGGGAAAGCTTTGTTAACCAATTATCTTTAAGAAGTGGAGTCTAGTTAAGGCATGGCTTCCTGGAGCCCAGGAGAAAAACTGGGATGGACCAGGTATTCACTCTCTCTGGGTGATTCCCATAGGACACAGTGAAACTTGGACTTTCCATTCTTGTGGCATGAGTTTCCCCTTATAATAAGTAAAGATATAGTTGTTTATCTTTAAGCTAGCCTGGTTATTTCCCCCAAATCAAGCTAACTTCTACAGTTGGCGCCCAACGTGGGGCTCGAACTCATGACCCTGAGATTAAGAGTCTCATGCTCTACCAACTGAGCTAGCCAGGTTATTTCCTGAATCGAGCTAACTTCTACAGATTGCATTGTCCACAGGCCCCAGAATTATAGCCATACTCTTCAGGAGCCACCATCCAGCTGACCACAGAGATCTACCTAGGATGAAGTTAACCTTGACAACGGAAAAACAGACAGGGAGAGTCTTGAATACATCACAGAACCAGTGTCTGCCTTACAGTTGAGCTTCAACTGTCTTAATTTATGTTTCTTGCCTCTTAAGCCTAGGGTAATTTTCAACATTCTACTGTCCACATGAGATGGGCCCTGACCTGTCAAAGGTGATGATGACCCAAGGACTAGATCAGCTTACCTGGTGCTGCTGGGAGTTAACCCTCCTGTTTGCTGGATCCTGCAGTGGCCCAGGTCTCTGCAAGGGGGTTCAATGGAGGAAGACACTGGGTGCATCTGTAAAAACAGCTATTTACTCCATAACTTCCACTGTATGCTGATGTTTTTACAACTGATGAGGCTGTATGAGTAGAGATCCATGGTGTGTCTGACCTGGAATCCCACCACTTAGGAGGAGGAGGCAGGAGGATCCATAGCTGAAGGTCATCCTCTGCTACGTAGTGAGCTTGATGGTAGCCTGGGCAGCAAGACCCTGTCTCAAAAAATAGGTAGCTATCAGCCCAGTTTGTACCCTTTGAACATCCTGTTACAGTGAGTGGCCAAAGGCAACAGGACAGAATTCCCCAGCTCTGAAGAACATACAAGCTGATGCAAGTTCAATTCCTTTCCATGTTGAGTCACCTTACAAAGCAATTTTCTGTGGCTGTTTCTCTGGTCTGGTTTTTGGTTTGGTTTGGTTTGGTTTGGAGTTTTTTGTTTGTTTGTTTGGTTGGTTGGTTGGTTGGTTTTGGTTTTTATCTTTACTCAAAGTGGTCTGACGTTCAGTTTTTGAATAGAATCGCACTATTGTAGCCCAAACTGGACTCAAATTCAAGATCCCCCTGTCTCAGCCTTTTCAAGGCTAGGATTATAAGCATGTACTGCCATACCCAGCTTTCTTAGTTGGCTTAATTACTTGCCCACAAATTCTTCTCTGGGCTGTCTTTTCAGGTAGATTTTGTCGTCTTTCATACATCTTAGGGTGCTGCTATTTTCAAGCCATCTCAGGCCTCAGGATTAGGACACCGTAGCATTTGTCGCACTTGAGATCTCTTGATTTTGAAGAGGAAGTGGATATTGGTCATGAGGGTTTGTGGTCAGAAGCCGTCACACCCATGTACAAGAAAGACAAATCCCCCCAGCATGAAAAGCATCCCCATTGATCAGCCACCTTGGTAGCCTGGGCTCCAGATAAGTTTAGACTTTTACTTCCTTCAGATAAATGCCATCTCCCAAGAAAGACACCCTGTGGTGGTAAATACTGTCAGCCTGATAGTATCTAGTGTTACCTAGGACAAAGTTCTGAACAGGTCTGTAAGGAAGTTTCTAGGTTGAAGTAACTGTAATGTGAAGAGCCACAGCGAGAGTGAGCAACAATACACTAAGGGCTTGAGCCGAAGACAGAATAAAAAGGAACACAGAAAGTAGGTGAGACAGCTCAGCAGGGAAAGGCACTTGCTACAAATGCCTGACAACCTGACTTCAACCCCCAGAACCCATGTAACGGTGGCCGGAAGGAACTGACTCCCTGAAAGTTGTTCTCTTGCCACCACACACATGGTGTGGCGTTCTCCCCTCACCACCACCACCCACCAATAATAATGATGAGGGAAGTCGGCAAGGTGACTTATTGAGAAAGGGCACTTGTCACCAAACCCCCCACAAGTTACCATCTGGCTTGCACAAGCACACCGTGATACATGCACAACAACAGACATAAATAATGTACAAAAAAAAAATCGAAGGGGAGCTAAACAGCAGCATTCCTTCCTATGCCTCCTGTCTGAAAACGCAGGGTGGACAAGATGCCCCAAGCCCCTGCCGTCACGCCTTCCACGCCATAATGGATCCCCTGCCATCATGCCTCCCACGCCATAATGGATCATACCCTGGAGCTGCCACCCAGACTGAAGCCTTCTTCCCTTCAGTGGCTTTTGTCAGGAAGTTTGTCCCAGCAAGAGAACACACACCAAATAAAAGAGAAGGACAAGCCAGGGTGTGGTGGCGCACCTCTTTAATCCAGCACTTGGGGAGGCAGAGAGACAGTGAGTTTGAGGCCAGCCTGGTCTACAAAGGGAATTTTAGGACAGCCAGGACTGTTACACAGAGAAAAACAAAACAAAAACAAAACAAAAAACCAGAAAGACAATGACGAATTAATAACAGGAATGTATATTTCTGTTTATTTGGTTGTAAACATTGCAAGTTGGCAGCGTGTGGTGGGCCTGTAATCTCTGGGCTCAAGAGGCTGAGACAAGAAGATCTAGAGTTCAAGTTTAGTCTGAACTACACAGTGAAACTGTCTCAAAAGAAAAAAAAAGTGGAGTTGAGCCAGCCTAATTTAAGCAGACCAGAATAGATGAGAAACAAGTGGGAGTCATTGGAAAACCTTAAGAGCCAGGCTTTATGAAGGGGAGTATACAGTCAGCAGAGCAATGGCCTTCCCCAGGGTAGCTAGATCCCATCACCAGAACCTGGGACACAGGAACAAAGGACTGTGTTACTTTACCTGGCAAACAGGACCAGATAACAGATAGCATTAAGTCTGCGCTACAGATTTTAAAAACAGTAAAGCATTGTCTTGGATTATCCTGATGGGCTTATGTGACCAAGGGGATCATTAAACAGGGAAGACGGAGGCAGGAGACTCTAACAGTGTAATGGCTCAGTGGTTCAGAGCACTGGCTTGCTCTTCCAGAGGACCTGGGTTCAATTCCCAGCACCCAAAAGGAGACTTACAACTGTAACTCCAGTTCCAGATTTGGAGCCCTCTTTTATCCTTCTCAGGCACTGCAAACACATGACAAACAGATATACATGAAAGATAGATGGGGGGGGAGAGAGGATTGATAGAGGATAGATAGATAGATAGATAGATAGATAGATAGATAGATAGATAGAT